CGCTGGGGCCTGCTTTCCACCTGTCCTGGTTCTGCTGTTGCAGAGGCCTGCTTTCACCCCGGGGATACCACGGAGGGACCGGAGCGCTTCCACGCTGCTGTTTTCGCCTGTCCTTTGCTGCTGTGCTGATTTTGCTCCAGGAACATCGCGGATACTGTGTGCTGGTCTGGGAAAATGGCCCATATCGGGATTCTGCTGTGCCTGTTAACTGTTTTGGACTATGAGAAGATCTCTAGTCATTCTGAGAAGTCTACTGGATTCAGGTCTGTTCTGCCACCCGCAGTGGGCATCCCCTGCAAAGGTTTGGATGTGTTGCACAAACAATTACCGGTTGCCTTGTCACAGACAATCTGCTCGACAAAATATGTTTGTCTTTTTTGTTTTCCTGCGATGATGGTTCTTCAGGACTGCTTCTTAAGCTCAAATCACACTCTCGTAGACTTTTCCGGTGTTTCTAAAGTAGATGACAATATATGTGTGTCATTTAAGAGGAACAGATGCCTGGTTCTTTTGTTGTTATTACTGTCAGGAAATGTACAACCTAACCCTGGTCCGCCCTGTAGTAGTAGTCAGATCGCTACGCCTGCTGATTTTAAAGCTAGGTCTGGGTTGGGTTTCATCCACTTGAATGTGCGCAGTCTGTAAGGTAAACTAGATTTTGTTTGCATCTGGGCGAGCTCGACTGACGCTGACGTCATTGTTTTATCAGAAACATGGCTAAACAAATCTATTTTGGCCTCTGACATTACCTTAAATGGTTTTAATGTGTATCGTACCGACCGGCCTAATAAAGGTGGTGGCGTTGCCATTTATGTTAAGAATAACTTCAGTGTAACCACATTAGTTTCCAAATCTATCAGTAAGCAATTCGAATTTTTAGCCTTAAATATAGAAGTGGCAACGGGTCAACAGGTCATGGTAGTGGGCTGTTACAGACCCCCCTCAGCTGGCAAGGACTCCTTGTCTTTGCTAGCAAATCTTTTATTGCAACTAGACTACAAGGAAATAGTGCTACTTGGAGATTTTAACTGGGACTGGTTAACTGCAGTGTCAGAGGATTTTAAAAACCTTTGTATCTCTTTGAATGTTACTCAGATTGTTGACAGTCCTACTCTCCCTAACATTAAGTCCCCTAATAAATCCTCCCTAATTGATCTCATTTTAACTAATGCTCCCTATAAATACTTATATGTGAGAGTATTTGCGAATGATTTGAGTCATCACTGTGTTGTAGCCACAATTAGGGACACTAAGGTTCAAAAGGTTAAACCTCGTATTATTATTAAGAGAGACATAAAACATTTTGTGGAGCAGGGTTTTGTTCATGATCTGTTTGGGTTTGATTGGGGAAAAATCGATCTGTGTGCTGATATAGAAACTGCATGGTCTTATTTTTATCTTGGTTTTATGGAGATCATTGATAGACATGCACCCCTGCATACATTTAGAGTGAAGGGACGAGACAATCCTTGGTTTTCTGCTGAACTGTCCAGTGTCCTTCATGAGAGAAACAAGGCCTGGGCAAAGGCTAGGCAATCAAGCTCAGAGGTAGAGTGGCTGCGTTTTAGGCAGCTAAGGAATAGCTTCACTTCAAATGTCAAAAGTGCAAAGTCGAAGTACTATTTGTCAGTTACCACAGAAAACCTAAATAATCCTAGGAAATGTTGGAAAGCCATAAAATCGATATTACATTACATTACATTGCATTTAGCTGACGCTTTTATCCAAAGCGACTTACAATAAGTATATTCGACCAGGAAGACACAACCTTGAAGAAAACAGAATCATATAAGTACATCAGGTTTCATAGAGCCAAACATTTCAAGTGCTACTCAACTGGCTTTAGGTAAGCCAGTCCTTTATTAGTATAAAAGTGCTTCGTTAATAGTTCTAACGCTCGAAGTGGAGTCGAAAGAGATGAGTTTTCAGTTTGCGCCGGAAGATGTGCAAGCTATCTGCCGTCCTGATGTCAATGGGGAGCTCATTCCACCATCTTGGAGCCAGGACAGCAAACCCACGTGTTTTCGCCGATGGGAACTTGGGTCCCCCTCGCAGCGAGGGCGCAACGAGTCGTTTAGCTGTGGCAGAGCGTAGTGCACGCGCTGGGGTGTACGGTTTAACCATGTCCTGGATGTAGGAAGGGCCAGATCCATTCGCAGCATGGTAAGCAAGTACCAGTGTCTTGAAGTGGATTCTAGCAGTTACCGGAAGCCAGAGAAGGGAGCGGAGGAGCGGAGTGGTGTGGGAGAATTTAGGAAGGTTGAAGACCAGACGAGCCGCTGCATTCTGGATGAGCTGCAGAGGTCGGATGGCACATGCAGGTAGACCAGCCAGGAGGGAGTTGCAGTAGTCTAGGCGTGAGATGACGAGAGCCTGGACCAGAACCTGAGTCGCTTTCTGAGTCAGCTGGGGACGTATCTTCCTGATGTTGTAAAGCGTGTATCTGCAGCAACGGGTTGTAGCAGCGATGTTTGCAGTGAAGGACAGGTTGTTATCTAGGGTCACACCCAGATTCCTTGCAGTCTGAGTCGGGGAAACAACTGAGGTGCCGATGTTGATTGTTAGGTCAAGAGTGGGACAATCTTTTCCCGGGAGGAAGAGCAGCTCAGTCTTGTCAAGGTTGAGCTTGAGGTGGTGAGCAGACATCCACTGAGAGATGTCAGCTAGACAAGCAGAGATGCGTGCAACGACCTGGGTCTCTGAGCGGGGAAAGGACAGAATTAATTGGGTGTCATCAGCGTAGCAGTGGTAAGAAAAACCATGCGGGCTAATGACTGATCCGAGCGAGTTTGTGTACAGGGAGAAGAGGAGGGGACCAAGAACAGAGCCCTGAGGGACCCCCGTAGTTAATTGACAAGGGTCGGACTCAGACCCTCTCCAAGTCACCCTGTAGGTACGGTCTTTCAGGTATGAGGTGAGGAGGGAAAGTGCAGAGCCTGAAACTCCAAGATATTGGAGAGTGCGAAGGAGGATCTGATGATTCACCGTGTCGAATGCAGCAGACAGGTCCAATAGGATGATGACCGAGGAGAGGGATGCAGTTTTGGCAGTGTGCAGTTCCTCCGTGACAGCAATGAGAGCAGTTTCTGTGGAGTGACCTGCCTTGAAACCAGACTGGTGCGGATCCAGAAGGTTGTTCTGATTGAGATAACAGGAGAGTTGTTTAAAGACAGCGCGTTCAAGTGATTTAGACAGGAACGGGAGGAGAGAGACAGGCCTGTAGTTTATAACATCAGACGGGTTGAGAGTGGGTTTCTTTAGGAGAGGGTTTACTCTTGCCTCCTTGAGACTGTTTGGAAAGTGACCAGAAGTTAGAGAAGTGTTGATTAAATGGGTGAGAAACGGTAGAATATCAGGAGCGATAGTCTGAAGGAGGTTTGAAGGGATAGGGTCCAGAGGACAGGTGGTAGGGCGGGCAGAGGTAATGAGGGTAAGAACCTCACTCGGAGAGAGAGGGGAAAAGGAGGTAAGTGTGTTGGTGGAAGGAGGGTCTGGTGACCCAGCGGTGAGTAAAGGTGAGTCAGAAAAAGAAGAGCGAATATCATCAACCTTTTTTCAAAGTGGGTAACAAAGTCGCTTGACAGAAGTGAGGAGGGGGGAGGAGCTTTTGGAGGGTCCAAGAGGGTGGAGAAGATGGAAAATAGTTTTTTAGGATTGGAATAGGAAGATTGGATCTTATCTTGAAAGAAAGTGCTTTTTGCCTGAGAGATCGAAGCAGAGAAAGAGGAGAGGAGAGCCTGATAGGTTAGGAGGTCGTCACGGTGTTTGGATTTCCACCATTTCCGCTCTGCTGCCCTAAGGACGGTTCTATTAGCACGCAGTGCATCATTTAGCCAGGGAGCAGGAGGGGACTGACGAGCCTGCCGAGATGTGAGAGGACAGAGCGAGTCCAGAGTGGATGAAAGAGTAGAGAGGAGAGTTTCTGCAGCAGAGTTTGGAGGCAGGAGATGGAACGAATCAGAGGAAGGGAGGGCTGAGAGCACCGACGAGGCAAAGCTAGAGGGGGAGAGGGAGCGAAGGTTACGGCGGACAAGTGCAGGATGAGAAGAGATTAGTTTGTTATGTTTGGAAAGGGATAGAGAGAATGAAATGAAGAAGTGATCGGATGTGTGGAGCGGGTTTACAGAGAGGTTAGAAGTAGCGCAGTTCCTTGAGAATATGAGATCAAGGACATTGCCAGCTTTATGAGTCGGTGGGGACGGAGACAGTGAGAAAGCAAAGGCGGTTAACAGAGATGTTAGTTCGTCTATCTTCCCCGTCTGGAGGTTGAAGTCTCCGAGAAGTACAGCGGGAGGGCCAGTTTCAGGGATGAGTGAGAGGAGATTATCTAATTCCTCCAAGAAGTCCCCCAAGGCGCCTGGTGGACGGTAGAGAACAACAATGGTTAACTGTATAGGATGGGTTACTGTGACGGCATGGAATTCAAAGGTGGAAGGAGTGAAGTTAGGTAGCTTGAAGAGGGAAAAGCTCCATTTGGGAGATATCTCACCGATATCCACCGGTGAGATCCGTAATGAGCTACCTCCGTGCCTTACTACAGCATCTGGCTCTATATCGGACAGGGCTACAATGCTAAATTGCTTTAATGAGCATTTTGTGTCCTGCGGTTCTATGTTTGATTCTGTTTCTAACTCTGCTTCTGTGAACACCCCAATCCGTGACTCTGAACAATGTGGTCTGGAAAACCCTTTCAGTTTTACTCCTTTTACTGTTGATGTTGTTCATGAATTCTTATCTAAGCTAGATCCTAAGAAACCGGCTGGCCCAGACAACGTAGAACCTTTCTTTTTAAAGATAGCTGCAGATTGTATTGCTCTTCCTCTTACTACTCTTTTTAACCTCTCCCTCAGCACAAATGCAATTCCAAAAGTATGGAAGTCAGCTTATGTCTTGCCTTTGCTAAAAGGAGGGGAGGCAACTATTTTAAATAACTATAGGCCAATCCCTAAATTGTCAGTTCTGTGAGGAATTGCGGTATCTCCTTCTCTCTGTTTGTTTGTCTATCTGTTTGTCTGTCTTCCTGGCTGGGCGTGGTTGACCTACTTTCCGTTTTCCGCCAACTCACCTCCGCTCCTGTTTCTCATCATCACTGATTACCACCACTCACCTGCTGCTGCTTAAAACTCCGGTTCGATCATCAGACTTCGCCAGTTCTTCGTATACTCACAGTGGTAAACTCCAGTTCCGGCTGACTAGATTTTCTAGTTCTTTTGTATACTCTTCCTGTTGGATTTTTTCGTATGCTAATCCTGTTCTGTTTTTTGCCTGTTCCAGAAACTCCACATTCCATTCCGTCCTGCCTGCCACGTCCAGCCCAACCTCCGTCTCAGCCCTGCTCCACGTTCTCCCCACTCTGTTCAGAGTTTGCTTTGTCCCCTGCCTGGTTTTTGTGGACTTATTAAATCCAGTCTTTTTGACACTTCACCTAAGTCTCCGTCCCAGTGTTCTTGCATAGCGGGTTCAAGTTTTGTGTCTCTTTACGAGGAGCTTAACAGAAGAACTGGCCAAAAATGAACCCCGCAGGATACGGAGCGGATTCTACCCCAATCCTTCATGCCCTGTCAAGTCAGGGTTCCCTCCTGGGTGAACACGAAAAGCTCATCCGAGAGTTGGTTGATAGTAACCGGTCCATGGCTCTTCATGTCTCCGAGTTGGCGTGCCAGATCTCCGCTCTCACTACCTCGACGGTAGCATCTCAGGCCACTCCCAGTCCAGCTCCTTTGCCCTCTCCTCGCCAGGATTTTCCTATCACCGATCCTGAGCCATTTCACGGACAAGTGGAGAAATGCAGAGGTTTTTTGTTTCAATGTAACAAGGTTTTTCGCCAGCGTCCTGTTGCATTTGCTGCTGAAGCAACAAGGATCAATTTTGTTTTGGGTTCGCTCCGCGGGAGAGCTTTAACCTGGGCAGAGGCTTTAAACTCTTCGGTGGATTTTGACACTCTACGTTTTGAGAGCTTCTCTGATCGGTTCTCAGCTGTTTTTGATCATCCCAACTCCTCTGGCTCCGCCGAGAATAAGCTGCTTAGCCTGCAACAAGGAAGCCGGACAGTGGCTGATTACTCCATTGAGTTTCACATACTCGCTGCAGAGGCTCGATGGGACGAGGCGGCTCTCAAGGCGGTATTTTTGAGAGGATTAAGGGACCAGCTTTGGGACGAATTGGCAGCACGAGACGTTCCAGCGGATCTCTCAGAGCTGATTTCCTTAGTGTCTCATTTGGACGGTCGTCTGCGGGAGCGCCGAGCTGAGCGGACATGGAGGGATTCACCAGCCTCCCTCAGTAAGCCCAGTTTTTCCTCCTTCTCTGCTCACTCGATGTCTAGACCTTCCTCTTTCCCCCCGTCGTCCAGCGTGCGCACCTCTTCTCAGGAGGAGCACATGCAACTGGGTCGTGCTAGACTTTCTCCGGAGGAGCGTCAGAGCCGGATAGGTGCAGGCCAATGCCTGTATTGTGGAAAGACTGCATATCATTCCCAACTGCCCAGTACGGCCAAACTGGGAGGCTCGTCAGTGAGATTGGGGTTCCTGACGAGTCCACAGCAATCATCTCTAACCCCATCCTTGACTCGTTTTCGAATTCCCGCCAAGCTCTGTGTTAGTTCTATGACATTGCCTCTCCAGGCTCTTATTGATTCTGGTGCAGAGGATAGCTTTTTGGACCGGGAGCTAGCTGAACAGCTGTGACTCTGCATGGAGCCTCTAGAGCAGTGGTTCCCAAACGGTGTGCCGTGAGGCAAGTCCGGGTGTGCCGTGGGATTTTGTGACAACCATACGTTACTATTGCAATATACAACTACACAAAAATAATTTTTTTTTTATTTACTATATCAGTACTTTGTAGGTTTATATGTACGTAATCTGCGTGACTTGTGCGTCCACATCTCCACGTGCAGTGCTGCATAAACATGGCTGAGTCAGCGATAACTTTCGAGGGGTGGAGGTATGCCCATTATTTTGAGTTCGTCCGAAGAATAGACAGGAATGTGACGGTGAGGTGCAAACTGTGTCCAGGCCAGAAGCTAAGGAAAGTTATTGCCACTCAGGCATGTGCAAGTTCGTACGTGCTCGGCGAGTAAAGTAACGAGTTACTTTATGTAGATAGTAACGAAGTAGTGTAATATATTACTTTTTTTTAAAGTAATATGTAGTATATTAAAACAAATTAGTAACGACCCCATCTCTGGAGTTGGCGTTCTCTACTCTGATTTACATGAAGAACAACAGGAGGTCACGGGACTCACGGCTCTCTGTTGAACAGGACTTGCGAGTGGCCCTCTCCTCAGTGCCACCAAGGATTACAAAATTCTGCGCGCCCCGACAGGCACATGTATCTCACTAATTTGTAAGTCGGCAAAATATTTACAATAGCACATGTTTCAATGCTGATTGCTGAAATGTTAATTTTGTGACCTGTCTGGTTTAAATGAGTGTGTTGCTGCTTTGATGAAGCCTAATTTGATAAAGTTTCAAATTAATTTCTGAAATATTTCGTTAATAAATATTTCACGAGTAATATAGTTGTCTTTGTCACATTTTATTTGGCATTAGTAAATAATTATGCACATTTACAGATATTTTACATGATATGAGTGATAACACGTGTTATAAGGGCTATTTTGCACAATAGGTGTGCCTTGAGATTTTTACTTGTCCTTTGGTGTGCCTTGGGCACAAAAAGTTTGGGAACCACTGCTCTAGAGGAACCGTTAACTGCCTATGCTCTAAATCAGGGGTGGGGAACCTTTTTCCTCTCAAGGGCCATTTCAATTTTTCCAACATCCTCCGAGGGCCGTACAAATGATTGACCTCTGCTTAAAAATACTAAAATCACAGCCCATTCATTCGGCCTTTCTTTCATGCTGTGCAAAGAAAAAGCAACCTCTTAATCCAGATATTTTACCATGACTCATGCATGCACGTGCACGGTTGTGGCATGACCACCCAAACAGAAATATATGGAAACAAGATGTGTGCAAATGTATTTAGTTTCCTATCCATGTGAACATGATTTAAGTGGGGACCTAACCGCCTCTAGGGGGGTGTTCTCCCCCGGGAAGATTTTTTTTTAAATGTTGAATTTAAAAGCATCAATCTGGTGCACTTTGAGAGCAACATTAAGAGATCTATGGATACATCTCTCAACACCCATATGAAACAGAACTGTAAGCAGATTTTCTTTTTCTTTATGGATATTTTACAAATCACTCTCCTTTCAAACTGTATTCTTGTTTATTAATAACAACTTTTTTTTACTGTCATATAGTATTTTATACCAGTTTACTTTATTCTGTTATTTTTTTATAACTATAATGATCATATAAAGATGTGCCTTTACCTCACTGGTTGTAGAAAAAGCTTCTTGTATTCGTTAGCATAGCTAGCTAACCAGATGCTAATAACAACACAGTTATTGACTTTATGATCAGTATGATAGATGAACAGAGCACTGGGCTTTCAACTAAAGACACAGCCACGCAAAAACTGCGGCATGTGTACGGCTCCTTATGGGTACTGCAATTTGTGGAAGTGGTGGAGCGGCGTTCTGGTGCTCTCCGTCAGAACCATGGTCAGAACTGCATCCCTATCAGACGAGACTTATACCACGTGATGACACGTTAGGCTCGTGATGTGTTCAAGGACCCTGACCTTGGCCAGGAAAAACAGGCACTCGCTTGTTTAATTTTTTTGTGGTCTAGATTTCTTTAATTTTTTTCTTTTTTGCAAATGTTTATAAATTACCTCGAGGGCCGTAGCAAAAGGTCTCGCGGGCCGTATACAGCCCGGGGGCCGGAGGTTCCCCACCCCTGCTCTAAATGGACAAATCATTTCCTCAGTCACAGCACAGTCACCCCTTGTGACTTTAATCACCTCCGGAAACCACCGTGAACTTATCCAGTTAAAGGTAATATCCTCTCCTTCCACACCTCTGGTTTTGGGTTACCCGTGGCTACGTACTCACAACCCACACATTGATTGGGCTAAGGGAAGGATTATTGAATGGGATCTGCACTGTCTCGCTAACTGCCTGTGTTCTGCCATACCTTCAACTTCTGTTTCCCCAAATCCTATTGTCTGCTCTGATGCATCTGTAGATTTGACTGGTGTTCCTGCTACTTACCACGACCTGCGTTGGGTCTTCAGCAAAGAGAGGGCTCTCTCTCTTCCTCCCCACCGACCCTACGACTGCCCAATTGATCTGCTCCCTGGAGCTCCTCTACCCTCCAGCCGCCTCTACAATCTGTCCCGTCTTGAGAGGGAGGCTATGGAGCTTTATATCACGGACTCTGTGGCTGCTGGTATTATTCGTCCCTCCTCTTCTCCTGTGGGTGCCAGGTTCTTCTTTGTAGGCAAGAAGGATAAGTCGCTACGACCTTGCATAGACTTTCGGGGGTTAAACAATATCACGGTCAAGAACAAGTACCCATTACCGCTTCTCACCTCAGCTTTTGAACCTCTCCAAGAGGCAACCCTGTTCACCAAGCTTAACATTCGAAACGCCTATCATCTGATCCGCATTCGCCAGGGGGATGAATGGAAGACAGCGTTTAACACTCCATTGGGCCATTTTGAATATCTGGTCATGCCTTTTGGTCTCACTAACGCCCCAGCAGTTTTCCAGGCTATGGTCAATGATGTCTTGCGTGACTTCCTTAATCGCTTTGTCTTTGTTTACCTAGACGACATCCTGATTTTCTCCAGGAATCAGGAGGAACACGAGAACCATGTCCGCAGGGTCCTACAGAGACTGCTGGAGAACAAGCTCTATGTTAAGGCGGAGAAGTGTGAGTTCCACCAGAACCGGATCAGCTTCCTGGGCTATATCATCAGCCAGGGCAAGGTGGAGGCAGACCCTGGAAAGATCAAGGCAGTGGTGGAGTGGCCAGTCCCAACTACAAGGAAGGAGCTCCAGAGGTTTCTGGGATTTGCCAACTTTTACCGTCGCTTCATCCGGAACTTCAGTAAGGTAGCTGCACCTCTCTCCAGACTCACCTCCGTCAACATCACGTTCTGTTGGACTCCAGAGGCTAACAGAGCTTTCATCAAACTCAAGTCCTTGTTCACCTCAGCTACCATCCTTATTCAGCCAGACACAGAGAAGCAGTTTGTTGTGGAGGTGGACGCGTCTGACACTGGAGTAGGAGCAGTTTTGTCTCAGACGACTGGTCCTGATAACATCCTCCATCCCTGTGCTTTTTTTTCACGTCGCCTCTCTCCTACGGAGCGGAATTATGATGTTGGTAACAGGGAGCTTCTGGCTGTTAAGTTGGTACTAGAGGAGTGGAGACACTGGCTCGAAGGCAGCAAGCAGCCTTTCCTGGTCTGGGCGGACCACAATAATCTCTCCTACATCCAGTCGGCGAAGCGACTGAACTCCCGACAGGCCAGGTGGGCTCTGTTCTTCTGTCGCTTCGACTTTTGCCT